GCAAGATGGCGGCGCCGCGCCACGTCCGCACCCGGAAGTGCCGTCACGGCGGGCGGGGCGGCCCCTCCCCGCCGCCAGGGGGCGCGCCCGGGCCGGGCCGCGCGGCGGGGCGGGGTCGCCATGGCGACGGCGGCGGCGGCGCGGCGGGACGCGCGGCGGGCCGAGGTGGGACAGGGCTGCGGGGGGACACACCGGGACACGGGGATACGGAGGGACACGGGGTGCGGGGGGACACACCGGGACACGGCGGGACACGGGGTGCGGGGGGACACACCGGGACACGGCGGGACACGGCGGGACACACCGGGACACGGGGTGCGGGGGGGACACACCGGGACACGGCGGGACACGGCGGGACACACCGGGACACGGGGTGCGGGAGGACACACCGGGACACGGGGTGCGGGGGACACACCGGGACACGGGGTGCGGGGGGGACACACCGGGACACGGCGGGACACGGGGTGCGGTGGGAATCAACGGGACACGACGTGCGGCGGGACACACCGGGACACACCGGACACGGAGGGACACGGCGGGACACACCGGACACGGCGCGCGGCGGGCGCACGGCACGGGACACGCGTGGCCGGGCGCGGCCGCCCCGCCGCTCCCCGCCGCTCCCCGCCGCTCCCCGCCGCTCCCCGCCGCTCCCCGCCGCTCCCCGCCGCTGACTGTGCCTCCCGGCGCAGCCTCGCCCGGTGGAGAACCAGCCGTACGACGAGAGCCTGGAGCTGCCCGAGGCCGAGCCCGGGGCCCGCTCGCCGCGGGACTCCCGCAGGCCCGCGGGGTCCGGCGGAGCGGCCGAGCGCAGGAGCGGCGGGGGCAAGGTACGAGCGCAGCGGGCGGGGGCGGCCCGGTGAGATCCCGGTGAGATCCCGGTGAGGTCCCGGTGAGGTCCCGGTGAGAGCCCAGTGAGATCCCGGTGAGATCCCGGTGAGAGCCCGGTGAGGTCCCGGTGAGATCCCGGTGAGGTCCCGGTGAGAGCCCGGTGAGATCCGGGTGAGATCCCGGTGAGATCCCGGTGAGGTCCCGGTGAGATCCCGGTGAGATCCCGGTGAGAGCCCGGTGAGATCCCGGTGAGATCCCGGTGAGATCCCGGTGAGGTCCCGGTGAGAGCCCGGTGAGGTCCCGGTGAGATCCCGGTGAGGTCCCGGTGAGAGCCCGGTGAGATCCCGGTGAGATCCCGGTGAGGTCCCGGTGAGATCCCGGTGAGATCCCGGTGAGGTCCCGGTAAGAGCCCGGTGAGATCCCCTGAGACCCGGCTGTCGCCCAGGAGGACGCAGCGGCGCACCTCCCCGGCCCAGCCGCCTCCAGCGAGGATGAGGACGAGGACGATGAGGACTCGGAGGAAGATTCCTCGGAGAGCGACTCGGAGGAGGACTCGGAGGAGCACGGGGCCGCGCTGGAGGGGTGAGCGCTGCTCCTGACCAGAGGCTGCCGGGTGCTTCTCGGGCCCTGACAGCTCCGCCGGTTTTCCCGAGTCCCGCGAGGGTGAGCAGAGTCGTGGGCACTGGGACAGGCAGCTCCTGCCTCCTCGTCCCCCGTGCTGCAGGGTGGTGGTTCCTCCAGCTGGTGAACCAGTCCCGGGCTTGTTTGCTGTGCCCAGGAGAGGCACAGCTGGAGTGATCCAAGGTGTAAGCCAGGCTGGGCTGGCAGGAGAAGTCCAGAAAAGGGAAGGACCATCTCCAACATGTCACTCAGATCCTCATAATTCTTCTCCTTTTCCACTGTTTTCAGCTTCAAAGCTATTGCTGACCCCCTAATTACTGTCCTATTGCTGCCCTTGTGCAGAGCACTTAGCCCCCTTTTGACAGCCCTCTGTGGGACTGTGATCTCAGACGTCCATTGCTCAGGTGCTTTTCTTGGCCAGCAGATCCAAAGCAAAATGGGGCCCAATAATGCTTTCCCTGTGCAAGAAGTGTTTTCCAGAGATGACTTACTGCCTGGTGCTTCAGCTTCCCACATGTATCTGCCCCAGCTGGGTCCTGATTTCTGTTGTACAGAACTTGCCACATGCTCATCTTCTCCCTCTACTCTCTTCCTTCTTTTAGTGACTTCAATCCAGCAGATTTTGACTACCTGCAAGTGTCTTCTGAAATCAAAGATCTCTTTGAATACATCAAGAGGTGAGAGGAAGGGTTTTAGCCTGCTCTTGGCTCTTCTTTGTGTCAATGATTGCAGTACAGTTTCTAGTCACCTATGCTGTGATGGTGTTTTCTTCCAGGTACACTCCCAAAACAATAGAGATTGAGCACAAGCTGCAGCCTTTTATTCCAGACTTTATTCCTGCTGTTGGAGACATTGATGCATTCTTAAAGGTATGGTTTCTTCAGGTTCCTCTCTCCATCCTGCCCCACAAACCAAAACAGAACTCAGGCTCAGAACAAGTAGGCAGCCAGGCCATGTAGCCTGGGGTCTGGTCTGTCGATGGGCAGAGACCTGATAAACTGCACTGGTGGTTTGGTCACCTCTCAAACAGCACTTGGGTAACTTGGGGGAAAGCGTGGCTTCTCCTCCTTTAGCACCGTGTGCTTTTCAGGCAGCACTGTACTTAGAATGCACATCTGAGAGAAGGCTCTGTACAAACCTGCCCTGGACTCCACAGAGAACAGGGCTCTGCTTTCCTGCAGGTTCCTCGTCCTGATGGCAAACCTGACAACCTTGGCCTGCTGGTCCTGGATGAGCCCTCAACCAAGCAGTCAGATCCCACTGTGCTCTCCCTTTGGCTGACAGAGAACTCCAAGCAGCACAACATCACAGTGAGTCAGGAGGGGGAGGTCACACTTGCTGCACATTTCCTGGAGTAAAACCGTGGCATTTTACTCTTACAACTGAGAAGTTGACTTTAAAGGCAGCAACCAGACCTTTTGCTGTAATCCATAGTTTTAAACTGCAGTGGATCTGAGCCTTGATCAAGTCAAGTCTTGATATGAACTCTGGGTCTGTTCACTTCAGGTGATGCTTTATTTCCTTTTGGTTGTTCATACCCGGTTTTAGTTGGCATTTTGGCTGCAGAAATTCATTGGTAAAGTGCAGCTGGGAAAGAGAGTAGGCCTGGTTCACCAGAAGTGAATGCAGCTTTTCCGAAAAGCCCCAAAACACCATGAAACACTTCCAGATTTATATTTGTGTTTTTAGCAGCAAATAAAAGTGAAGAGTTTGGAGAATGCAGAAAAGAACCCTAAAGCCATTGAGAGCTGGATTGAAAGTATTAGTGAACTGCGTCGCTGCAAACCTCCTGCCACAGTCCATTACTCCAGGTGAGCCCTGATGTTGGCAGTGGAAGGTTGTGTTTGATCCTGAAGTTGATGTTCTTCTCTTCCCTGGCAGGCCAATGCCTGACATCGAGACCCTGATGCAGGAATGGTCACCAGAATTCGAGGAGCTCCTGGGAAAGGTAGATTGTCTGGGTGACCAGTAATTAGCTCAGTGCTTGGTCTTAGAAACCCATCCCCCATGAAAGCTGGATGCCTGCCCCATCCCACAGCCCAGTCCTCTTGGGCTTGTTCCTCCTCGCAACTGCGCCCTTGGCAGAAGTTGGGGGGCAGCCCAACGCTGGAGTTCCCAGCTGCTGCCCCAGTGGTCTCTGCATGCTCCCAGGCTCCTGCAGTCCGGGAGCAGATCTGACAGATCCGTCTGTTGCAGGTGGGTCTTCCGAGCGCAGAGATGAGCTGTGACCTTGCTGAGTACATCGACATGATCTGCGGTGAGCTGGGGAGGCTGTGCTGCTCACACCGTGTGATGCTGGCCTGGCACTCTCCCTGAAAGCCAGAGAGTTTTAGCTGCAGGCTCAGCCCCAAGCAGTCAGGATTATTCCTGCTGCTGCAGTGGGAGGTGGGCTCTTGTGCTACAGGGGTCTGCAGTCTTTGGTGCGTGGAGCCCCAGGTGATGGTGGGCAGTGGAGAATTCAGCCCCTCCTGACAATGCTCTGTGTGGGGCAGTGCAGACCAGGTGCCCTCACACGCTTCTGATCTCACCTGCAGCCATTCTGGACATCCCCGTGTACAAGAGCCGGATCCACCCTCTGCATGTCCTCTTCTCCCTCTTCTTGGAGTTCAAGAACTCGCAGGTATGCAGCTCCACCCAGGTGCTGCTCACCCAGCTAGCAGCACTGTGCAGCTGGTCCCTTCACATTTGGCTTTGTGCCGGCAATGGGAGTGTGCACAGGACTGGTGGGCCCCAGAGGACATGTTCTCAGCTGCTCCTCTCCCTGATGCCTCTGCCTGACACAGGGAGCTGGGCTGTGCTCTGGGCTGAGGTGCCGTGTTGTTCAACAGACCAACACAAGCCAGAATGCATCTCCCTGGGCTGGCTGCTGGGCACACAACTCATGCAGAGCCCATGTGGCCGTCCCATTCAGATGTATGTGTGTGCTCTGAGCAGTGGGAGTCAAATCTTGCATGAGCATGTTCTTTTCCCTGCAGCACTTCAAGCCCCTGGCTGATGGGCAGAAGGGCAGGAGCCCACCATCCAACCCACCCTCACAAGCAACGGAGGCAGAGGTGTTGAGCTTTAATTGATCCTTCACGTTAAAGCCTCATCTCCTGGATCACTGTCTTGACTGGACACTGAGGTGTACCCAGAGCAGCTGGGGAGATATCACACAGCAAATCAGAAGCCTCTCTGGTCTTAGAGAAATTGCTGGGCTGTTCTGTGTTAGGGAGTAGGGCTTGACTCACCATATTTGTTGCAGAAGCTGCCTAATGGCTCCATTTTTGACTTGTTCCCAAGGAGTTGAGCATTAAACCAGCCTTTCCAAGTGCCAGGCTTTCTGTGCCACAGGTGCTGCAGAGCAGAGGCTCCCTGAGCACACACTATAAGGGTTGGAGCAAACAGGAATAAATTCTACATTCAGACAAAACACTCAGATCTGCTCAGGGTGTTGCAAGCTCTGATCTGGAGATCTTGAATCTCTGCTCCTTATTATTGAACCCCCTTTCCTGATGAGACCTGTCCCTTAGCTCCTGTCAAGCAGAAATAACCTGTGCAGCACCACAGATGCTTAAATTCAGTTTATTGCTGTTGGGATGGCTCTTCTTAGCCCCTGCTCCACTGACCTCCCACCTGTCTGCCACAGCAGCAGGGACAGGGGCAAGGAGGATCATGCAGCAAGTCACAAACCTGCTAAAGCAAAGCTGGTGCTTGGCTTTACCAGAGGAGTCACAGTGCTAGAGCCTGGCTATAAACAGTTTTGATGCATTTTGATGCACAGAGCTGGGGCGGGTCAGCTGCTGCTTCCCATCACGGCCTTCCTGGCCCCCGCAGCCGCTTGGCTCCGGGGCTGTGCCGGGCAGCCCTGGCTCGCCAGCACCACTGCAGCTCACAGCCAGATCTCATCACTGCTCATGCTGGGCACTTTGTAGATGCGCCCAGATACTGGGAGCTGGACAAAACCTGCAAGACAAAGAACTCATTGCCTGTTGGGGCAGCCATGGAGCTCCATGTCCCACAACCCATCTTTTAGGGCTGCTTGCCCGCCTGCTTCCCTTACCAAGCTTGCTGAGGACCAGGGAGTTTTCCAGTCCCAGCAGGGCACTTTCTTCTCCCCTAGCACCAGCTCCCACATCCTTGGGGGAAGCTGCAGGGAGGCAAAGGAATAAGAGCCAGGACATCTATCCCGTGCCCAAGCAGGACCTGGGGCCCCACATGTCTCAGTGCACTGGCACATCGGGGTTTTACCTCCATCTTCCTGTGCAAGGTCACCGAGGCACAGGTTGGGTGGCAGGGACTGGGTCTGGCGGGGCAGACGTGTGCCCCGAGGCTGCGGGGGCTCAGAGCTGCTGCAATGGGAGCATCGGCTGGGTGGGCTGTTCCCTCCTGCTTGCCCTGGACCTTGCACAAGCTGGGGCAAGCGGCATGCCAGGCAGGCAGCACAGGAGCCCAGGCTGAGCAGGGCAGCTAGGGCCAGGGCTGCTCCAATGGCAACACCCAGGACAGGCAGCTCCACACGGGCATCCAGCAGACCTGCACCAGCAATGCAGACCCCTCAGCACCCTTCCATGGGGCCATTGCACCATGCCCACCCCTCAACAGTTACCTGTGGGCAGGAGGGAGGCAGTGGTGATGCCCACACTGTTGGCTGCACTGATGGAGAGGTTTCCAGCTGTGCAGCTGAGATGGATGTGGAGTGAGTGGTTGGCACCCAGGAGGAGAAACTTGGAGGTGTTGGCCATCACATGCCCATCCTGGTCCACCCAGGTGATGCTGGCAGGTGGGTTGGCTTGCACCAGCACAAAGAGCACCAGGAGAAGGCCAGTGCTCTCAACCTGCTGGTAGTGGACATCTTCCTGCAGGATCTCTGGCTTATCTGTGTAAAAAACAGGCAGTGAGATGGGGAGGAGGGATGGGGACAACACAGCTAGGAGCAGGATTTGTCTCGCCTGGGTCTGGGAGCACTTGTTTACGTCGTTTGCACAGGACTGACAAGATGCTGCCCAGCTATGGCTGTGATGGATGCAGGTTATGGTCCTGCCCGAGCTGGATGGGAGCCCCACACGTCCTCCCCACATCCCAGTCTGGAGCAGGCCAGCACCGAGGACCTTACACTGCACATTGAGAAGGATGGAGGTGTTGTAGGTCTCACTGGAGGTCGGGATGGTCAGGGAGCAGTTGAGCTCATGGTCAGAGCGCTGGCTGGTGAGGATGCTGGCAGTGTCTGTAGCTGAGAGGTTGACTTCCTGTTTCTGACCGTTGAGGTACCAGGCCAGTGTGGCACCGGGGACTGGCCGGGGAACCCAGCAGGTGAAGATACGACTCTCCCCCTCCTGCAGGGTGCACGCTGTGCGCGGCTGCCTGTCAGTGGTGGGGCCCAGCTCCTCCAGTGCTGCCAGAGAGCCCACCACACATCAGAGCTGTGGCAGGGGTCCTGCTCTGGGAGTCATGCACCGGACCCCACCACAGCCTCACCTGCTAAGCAGAGCGCCAGGAGGCTGAGCAGCAGTAGCAGCAGGAGGGCAAAGGCAGCCCCCGGCCAGCCGCTGGGACACCCCATGTTATATCAGCCGTGCTCAGCGCTAGGAGAGAGGCAGCTAGAGCAGGGACGTTAGCGCATCCACCACGCTGGGCCCCGGTGTTCCAGCACACAGCCGGGTCGGAGGATGTGGCCCAGCTGCACCTTACCTGCAGCATTGCTGCTTCTGTGTCCAGCCCGGTCTGCAGTGCGGCTCTGCGCCCGGGCCCCGGCACGCAGGGCAGTGCATGCGGCGCAGGGGCGGGCCCCGGCGCGGCTGCGAGCATCGATCATCCCTCCCTCCCGGCGGGGCTGCGAGCATCCCTCCCTCCCGGCGCGGCTGCGAGCATCGATCATCCCTCCCTCCCGGCGGGGCTGCGAGCATCCCTCCCTCCCGGCGCGGCTGCGAGCATCCCTCCCTCCCGGCGGGGCTGCGAGCATCCCTCCCTCCCGGCGGGGCTGCGAGCGTCGATCATCCCTCCCTCCCGGCGGGGCTGCGAGCATCCCTCCCTCCCGGCGCCGCCTTCCCCGAGCGGCATCGCTGCGCGCAGCCGCGGGGCCAGAGCTGGCCAGAGACTGCCCGGCCGGGACAGGGGGTGCGCGGCCCTGTGCCTCCGAGCTCCCCTCTTCAAGGAAGAGGACCCTAACTTGCACCCACCGGGCCACCCATCTCAGCAGGGCTGCGCACGCTTGGGAATCACCACAATGCCTGCAAAGTCGCAAGCAGAGCCCAGGTGCTGGGAACAGAGGGAGGTTTATTCGGGGTGGAGCAGAGCGAGACAAACACAGCAAGGTGCTTTGATGCTTTCCCGTCCCTGGCTGATAGCCGGGAGGAGGAACAAGAGCTCTGGCACCTGAGGTGGACCTTTTCTGACCACCAGGACAGGTCTGCCTGGGCCAGCTCAGGAGCACGGTTCTACCCAACCCTCTCGCTGCCCGTCTCAGTCGCTTCCAGCTCCATCAGGGTTGCGCAGCCGACCGAGCATCTCGCAGAGCATCTGGTTGCAGAGCGCGGAGTAGGGGTTGAGCAGCACGAGCTGCTGCCGGGCGAAGGCGCTGCCCAGGCGCGCTGCGCGCTCCAGGTCCCGCCGAGCATCCTCGTCCCGCGCCTGCAGCCGGCGGATGAGGCCGCGCTGCACGAAGCTCTGGCAGGCGGCACGCCCGCGGCCGCGGCTCAGGCGGATGGCAGCGTCCAGGTCCTGCAGGGCACCTGCCAAAGAGGGGAGGCATTGCTAGGGGCCGGGGTGCCGGGAGACCACCCGCACCTGCGCTGCTCACCTGCCACGTCTCCGCGCAAGCGGAGGGCTTGGGCTCGGTTGTTGTAGCCCGAGGCACGCTCAGGCAGCAGGCGAATGGCCTCACTGAACCGCTCCAGGGCCGTGCTTAGGTCTCCTGACTCAGCCGCAGAAACCCCCTGCAGCTCCAGCTCCCGGACTTGATCCAACAGCTCCGACGGAAAAGCTTCCACTATTGCAGTGAAAACGGGAATGGCTGGGAGGTGGAGGCACCAGGACGACCCACGGGGCCCAGGCCCACTGCCACTGTACACTGCCGTTCCGGAAGGGAACAGGGCAGGGTGCTGGTGTCCATCCTCAAGCAGGCACTGTTCCCAGCCTGCAGAGCCTCCTTCCCTGCCCACCTGCTCGCCCTATGCGGACCCTGATGGCAATTCCAGCAAGAACCTGGCACACCGTCACTTACCTTCGTCCTGGACATCCTCCTCCTCCTGATCCAACCCTGGGATATCCCCAAAAGGGGTGCTGGGGTTAAAGATGGTCTGCAGGACAGCCCTGTCGTTCGCTGTGGCCATGCTGCTGTGTCACTGCGGCCTGTGACAAGGCTGCAGGCACGAGCAGGCTGCCACAGCCCAGTTAATGTTCACCCTGCCTCGTCCTATGGCAGCCTGGGCTGAGGCCCCACCACCTGGCCGGTGCCCCCAGCAGCGACCCAAGGTGATCTGCACACGCGAGCCGAGGGCTCCCACGCCTTGCAAGTATCCTGGAGAAGTAGCAGCTTCTCAGTTCTCAAGAAGAAATGGAGAGAGCCCTCTGCAGCAATAAACTTGACATGTTTATTAATTAAACTATCACTTAAATAAAAAAAAGTGCATAGAAAATAAACATGTTTAAAAACTCCTTTTTTTTTTTTTACAACTATGTACACTTTTTATTTTTACATTCAGTCTTTTGCAGAGCTTTCAGCATTTTTTTAAACTATTAAAGTATTTCCTTCTTCCCTGTGGCAGGGAGTTAACACTGATGTACTTTAGACACATTTCCTCTTTTTTTTAAAAAACCCAAAAAACCAAAGCCAAAAATAACTAAAAAAACAAACAACCAGTAGATTGGAAGAACACAAGAAAAAAAAAAAGTTTTGTTATACATGATAAGTTGTCAAGAAATGTATTTCTAGAACATAACCTTGCCTTTGCAGAGCTTTTTTTTTTTCTTTTTTTTTTTTTTTTTTTTAAACAATTTTTTTTTTTTTTTTTTTTTCTAAAGAGACTGTAAGTTCAATAAAAGAAACACCACAAGTATAGTTCTCGGCTGATAGACGAAGCTACTGTACCTTGTTAAAAAGATACCAGGAAAGCACAGAGCACATTTTTCCCTATATGCAGGTGGTACCCCAACATTCATAACCAAAACGAGAGGAAGGAAAGGAAGAAACCAAGTTGTACAAGTACTGACTGTAACAAGAAGGGCCAAGAAAGGCCAAACCACCCGCTCCCCGCTTCTGGCCCTGGCTGCCAGTGGGGAATGAGCAGCAAGGCTTTCCTGGAGCTGTGAGCAACTGTAACACAATCCTTATCTATAGTGTTAAAGAGAATTAAAAGCCATGAACCGATACTGAACTAGGCTTCATTACACGGTGCATTACTATATTAGTTCCTATATATATTGTATTTATAGTTATAAAAAAATTTGCAAGTGTTGAGAGTGGACCAGTGTATGGGTGAATGGCATGATTCTGCACAGACCGTCCTGCTGAAGAACTTGGTATTGCTTTGAAATGAAAGAAAACCAGAAAAAAAAAAAAGATACCCAGCCCTTTGCAATGACCCGCTTCTCCTTTAAAAAAAAACATGTTGGCTTGTACAAAAAAAACCCAAAAACGCCCTAAGGTTCCTTTTTTAGTATTTCAGATACTATGATCTGCGTCAGTCCTTATAAAATATACATTCATACATGGGGAGCCGGGTGCTCCTGGCCGCCCAGGCTGAGGGTGCCCCAGCCCTGCTGCCACTTGCCCCTCGAGCCCGGGCTGGCCGCGGCGGGTGCAGCTCCCTGGGGTACAGACAGTTTCACTGGCCACAACGGGAATAGCAGCAAAGCGGGCAGCCCGCTGGCTCGGCTGGTCCCGGCAGGAGGAGGTCACCTGGCACCTGGACCTTGGGGGACTCCTGAGGCACAGCGCTCCCCTCGACCCTCCTTCCCACTTCTGCCCATGGGGAGTGGCTCTGGGCAGAGCTTCCCAGTGGAACCTCCTCCCGCAGCCAGGAAATCGGGTAGCGCGGGGTGAGGAAGCTGAGCTCTGGGATAAATTCAGGGGCTTTGCCATGGCGAGGGCCATGCCCCCGCCCCGCCTCAGAAACGGAAGGAAAAGGGCCAAGAGCAGCTGTGCTCCGGGCCATGGGGCCCAGATCCCCTGGGTGGGCACTCTCTGGGCTCCTCAAAGTATGTGCGTTCCCAAACTGTCAGTGCATCAAATCATCTCAGTAACAAATGCAGCCTCAATGTGACTTTGCTTTCAACAGTTACCAACAAATTATCCTCACACAGTGCAATAACAAAAGGAAATCGGCAGGTTCTGAACCTCCGAGCGCTGCTTTTCCTTCCCAGGGCAGAAGAAGAAGTCTCAAGACCAGAGAGGTGAGGATGGGGGATGCCCCTCGGGGAGACCTGGGGAGTCAGCAGGCACTCCCGGTCCCTTCCCCAACTGCCAGCACTGGTTCAGAGCAGCCCTCGGATACCTCAGCTCTGGGAAGAGTGGCTCCTGTAACAACTGCAACCTCACCACCAGGAAAGCTTGGGAAAGCAAGGGCACTTTCTGCTTTCCCTTCTGCGCAGAAAAACCCACCTGCCTTTGAAGGACAGACTGTGCCAGGAGGTGTGTGTCTCAGACTGGCCTCCCAGCAAAGAGGTATGGAGGGTCAGCTCTCATCCTATCTTGCTTTTCCTTTTTAAACCCTTGCAGGATACCAGCACGGGCAAGGCAGAATCAGACTATCTGCCCGAGTCACACACTGTCCTCCCACAGAGCGAAACTCATACTGTGCTGGGCAGTTCTCCCTCCTGCCCCTGTCCTTATGGGCAAATACAGTTTGAGGTCCAGTCAACCCTCCCAGAGACAGTTACTGAAGTCAAAAAGGCAGAACAAGAGCAGAAAACAAAACTAAAGCAACCCCCCCACTGGAGAAAGGCTCAGACTGTGTCCAGCCAGGTATTTCCTAGAACCGTCCTATGAAAATAAAAAAATCATTAAAAAGAGATTCTCTTAAATTAGGATAATACCACTGTAAAAAGCCTCGTCATAAGTGCTTTCCCCTATGAAGTGCTTCTCATAGAAAAATATACAAAATATATTTACATTTATAAAACCTTAAATACTAAACTGTAAACAGAACAGAGCAGAATCCAATGTTGTCACTGTCAGGCTTGGGTCTCTCATTTGTCTCTCTCTGGTTTTGCTCTGGGGCAGACCCCACAGGGAGGAGGACTCACACTGCTCCAACCAGGACAGTGGTTTTCCCTCAACTTGCTCAGACCTGGCCTGGTTCCTCATCCACTGTGCCAATGCCTCATGCGTTTCCTATGCGTTTCGGGATGCTGGCGCTTGGCCTTGCCTCTGCAGAGAACTTTGGCTCCATTTTGGGGTCCTTCTGTGTCTTCTGGGGAACACAGCATGACTACACCCAGACGACCGACCATGACAGGCACCTGGCTGCAGGGCCACTCTCCTGCCTGTCCCCCACAGGCCTGGGACACTGCGGCACGGCAGAGCAGAGTGGGTGCCTCCACACCAGTCCTTCCCAGTCCTTCTGCTCTACAGCAGTGTGCGGCCAAGGCCGGGGCTGGCTCGCACTCCCCTTCTCTCTCTAGAGTCCAGTCCCTTGAGACACCGCCTGGAGCTCGCTGGACAGAGGAGGAAGCCAGCTGCTGGAGACAGGACCCAGAGGACTACTTCCCTCCCACATGGCCATGGAAGGAGTGTTGGTGAATGGGAGCCTTTGCTGGCAAAGATTTACAGTGCCCCAACTTTTGGCACAAGCCCAGTTTGCCAAAGAATGCCAG